AAGCCAGTCTCAGCTGGAGGCTTGCCTTGTTAAGGAAAGCCACTCACGTACCGCTGCATGCGTGGCTCTGTGAGCCGTGTTTTCAGTCGGGCTCCTTCCTGCTTTTGCGACGGAAGCCGTGACGGGACAGCATCACGGTGTGCCTGCGATTGCAGCCCCGGTGCCACGCAGAGATGGAGCCGTGCCACCGGCCCCACCATGGCAGTGCTTGCAGGCACCCCCCACTCCTGTCTGTACGCGGGCAGCTATTTGTCCCCTAAAAAGGGCAAATTTAGTGCTGTGGGCACCTGAGCAGAGCTCTGTGCATGGGTGTCTGTCAGAAAACATTGCCTGAAGGAGAGTGACCTCTTGGAGAGCGTTGGGGGCCCTTTGGCAATTTAGGGGGTAGATGAGCTAGACCCTGTGGGTCCATCTGCTCCTTCAGAGGGCAGTTGTGTGAGCCAGAGGAGCCCACAGAGCCCTGCCTGCTTGTAAGATGAGACCCACCACCCTTTCTAATTGTTCCTCTGAAACCTCTCACCCTTTTGTGTATCTCCCAGATCCCAGAGCAGGAGGTTGTGAATTTGTTCATCCCAACGCAGGCCGTGGGGGCCATTATTGGGAAGAAGGGTCAACACATTAAACAGCTCGCGAGATTTGCTGGGGCCTCCATCAAGGTAAGCAGAGCATCAGGTGTCGCTTGGCCCTCAGGGCCCCCTCCATGGCCGTGCCATAGGGGTACCCCAAACCACAGGCACTCTCTGTTTCCCCTCCTCCCCTCATTACTCATCTCCCGGGGTTTGTGCCTCAGTTTCTGCTTTCTGCTGCCAGGCATGATAGCAGGGTTCCCCAAATGACGTGGAAGCACAGAGGTGCTTGTGCTGGGGACCCACCACCTCCTCATCCCCGGCAAGCTGCAAGCTCTGCAGTTCTCTGCACGCTGGGAGGTGGGAGGCAGTAAATGCGTCTCCCCACCACGAGAGGAGAATGCAGGGCATCCAGGTTTTCTCCAAGCAGTTGCGTGTTATCTCCTAACACGCAATTACAAACTCTCAGCTGAATGGAAATGGCTTGTTAAGGCTGGACATGTGCCAAAAGTGACATTAAGCTGATTCATCCGCTCTCCTGGGATCCTTTAGGAAAAGGGTGATCACTCAGAGGACAAAAATAGCTTGTCACAATTAGCTAGTGTCCACCAGACCATGTGTCCCTGCTCTCTGGTAGGGAGACGGCTCTGTTGTCAGGCCATGACTCCTTTCCAGATGGGCAGCACTAGAAGGATGTGTCAGGAACTGGTCCTTACTCGTTTCACATCTAGCAGCTCCTAGGGAACCCCATCAGCTTTGTCCCCACCCCCACCATCCCTGCCCTGCAACACCAGTGGAAGCTCCACAGGTATCCATACACGATGCTAAAATCGTGTTAGCATGGGCATGCAGCAGACCCTTGGGATGTCTGCATGACCAGCCTGGTGGGTCCGTGGCACCCGGGTGCTTCCAGTCCCCCAGCCACCTCCCCAGTCAGGTGCTGCTCCCAAGAGGGGCTCTGCAGGGTCTGGCTGAACCAGTCCTGGAAAGCAGCCGCGTCCTCCCTGTTGCTGCCATCTCCTACACATTGCCTCCCAACCCCAGACCCTGCGTTACACTGCGGCCCCGGTTGTAACATTCAGCGAGCCTGGCCCCTCACTGCCTTTTTGGCTTCAGAGCTCCTGGCTTCAGCCAGGTGGGCATCAGCCTTCTGGGCTGAAGTGGAGCCCTCATGGCGGGCGCAGATGCAACCCCAAACCCTGCGGCAGCGGCTGTCCCTGGGCGGTGACTCAGGGCCTGGGGCTGGAGCCCACTGGGGAAGGGGCTAGCGGCTGTGTCACGTGGGAGATGGCTGAGTCAGGTCGGGAAGAGGCCTGCAAGCATGAATCATGAGCTAGCCTAAGGCTCTTCCCATATTTAGGCAGCGGTGGCATGCACAGTGCTGCTGGCTTCTCCCTCCCCTTCTTGTGGGGAGTGTTGGCTCCCTCCCCCCCCAAAAGAAAAAAAAAAAAAATCTGTTTGTGCAAACGCTCCCAAGGAGACGGTGGCAACCAATTTGACCCCCTCCAAGAGGAGCAGGAGCCCCCAGCGTATTGGGGAATGAGGGCACCCTTTTGCTTCCTGAAACCCATCACTGAGTCCTGCACCTCTGCCAGGAATAGCGGCGCTGTTCCCAGGAGTAGTGGCACCCTCGGCATGGTGGCCAGTACTTGTCTCCAGTAGCTCCTGTTTTGTTTTTTGTTTTTTTCCCAGGGCCAGCTAGCCCTGTTGCATGTGGGCTGCAGCAGACTTAGGAGCTCTGCAGCAGCTTAAAACCCAGGCTGCTTAAAGCAAGTCCCAAGGTTGAAGGGCAGCTCACAGAGCTCTTCACTGCCAAATCGCCCCTCTACCCCTGCTGAGCACAAGGCTCTGGGCCAGGCTGGGCTGCTGCATGGGAGACACCCCTGT